ATATTCTACCAAAATTATCTCTATCCATGAGGACCTGGGCCTGCTTTTTGGGGAAATGCCCCTCTACAATTTCAGTGAGACATATGCATAGTATTTGCATTAAGCAGCAATTTCTTGGACACGAGGAATGCTTCTTTTTCAGCGATGGAATTAGTAAGTTCCTCCCTTCATAATACAGACCACATACAAAGTCCACTTTTATTTATCAATATTTCAATTGATACTCACTAATTTTAAAATTTTAATTAATAATTAATAAAATTTATCATATTTTATTTATAATACTTAAATAAATAACTAAATACTAAAATAACTTTCAATCATACTATCAGTACAACCACAGCCATAATTACAACATCTCACAACAATGGCAACAGCACCTTTAATCTACAGGGTAAAACTCTGATTTCGGTTCATAACTTCCAGCTACACTGTCCGCTCATATACACATACAGGTTGCCTAACCTCTTCGGTATATGATATCAATAACATTATGGACAATCCTGTGCCAAACTATTGGCTAAGATTGCGTAACTAAGTGTTGTTTCTATCATACACACTCCTAAGCTACCAAGGCCCTGTGAGTGTTCTTCTCAGGCATTGCCTTTTGCCTCCCCATGGAAGACGCAATTTCTCTAATATCTGAAAAATCAGGCAGCACAAAGCAAAAGGCAGTAAGAACAGCTGATTTGATCGAGAAATATTAGCATTCAGCTCTTGTTTCATATTACCCGAGAGAGAGAGAGAGAGGGAAAAGTCAATGAACCGAGGAAAAATCTCAAACTGTGTCCATCTTGACGAAAAAAAACAAGCACTGAATGTATTGTTGGGGCTGGTAAACACCCAACTCTTTTTTGTGCACATAATAACAAAAAAATTTTCCAATATTCATGCTGTTAGAGAAACAAAACATGCATTTTGTTATGCAATGCTTCCTATTGCAAAACACCGAACCCCCAAATAGGAGGCAGGGACAAATTCCCTCCTCCAAAAAAATGAAAAAAAGAAAAAGAAAAAGAAAAAGAAAAAGAAAAAGAAAAAGACAACTTGCCCCTTTAAATTGTCTGTTAAGATAAATTACTTATTATCTAACGTGTGACATCATTATGCATTAGGCATTTGTTTGTCGTGTGTGATGATGTTACACATTAAATAAAGAGTAATTTGTCTTGATCAATGATTTAAAGGGCAATTTGTCCCTAATTTTTTGAGGGATAGATCTGTTTCTACCCTCCTATTTAAAGGGGTTGATTTGGGGCTTTGGCTTTCCACCCATGTTTGAACTAAGGCAACGGAACTGAACTAAAGGGTTTGTTATTTGAATGCTAACATAAAATGTAAGATGACAGTATGTACAAGGGAAACAACATATACCTGATTTTTCTGCATTTCCATCATTTCCTCCTGCACCAAGAAAAGTTCAGTTGAGGAGGACCGTCCAACTGCGTTTTTCAATATGAAAAAAGAAAAACAAAAAGAAACAGAAAAAGAAAAAAAATAAAAAACTAAGCATGGTCATTACCTGTTTCCTCTGTAATTCTTCGTTCAATTCTTTAAGTTTTGCAACTTCTGCTTCCAATTCCAATGTATAAGCCTGCCAAAGATCCAATAACATTAACTGAGGTTCTATTAGAGAAAATTGCATTCAATGGTCCAGTAGAGTATATAAATCTGAAAAGGAACAAAGGGAAAAAAAAAAAAAAAAAAAAAAAAAAAATGATTCAGTGTTTTCTTACAGACCAACCAATAGATATTAAAATGTTTGATTTTCATATTTTGCACATGATTTATGTCTCAAAGTGTAATGTGTT